AATGCTCCTGCCGCCACCACTACCAGCACTGGCTACAGACTCACTGGGCTTCCCACAATCACACCCTCTGCAGCGATGTAAACTGTTTCCACCGCGGCTGATGCAACGAGAACTGTTTCTAAAACTCCTGTCGCCGTCAAAGGTACGACGGCTGGGATCACTACGAGCAAAGGAGCGGCGCCGGTTGTGGCCCCTGTGGTGGGATTTGCGGCTCTGGAAATAGCGGTGTTTGCGTTTTGATGTGAATGACCGATCAACTTTTCTGACATTTACGCTCCTTTCAACCTATCGAAAACGGAGAGGATCTCCCTAGTCCTGCCATACGACGTAAAGTCGTAAATATATGCTGTTCCGCGTGCGCCTTCGACATCCCACCTAATAATAGACTTATCAACACTTTGTTAATATTCGTGCGGCACGGTATTTGTCGTCGCTTCTCTTGCTTCCACTTATTCTTTGAATGTTTTCTGAGCAGCCCGATATTACTGTGCTGGTCAATATATCTTTTACCGCCTATTCTTTCAGTCTTTCCAAAAGATGCAAGCCTCAATATCACTTGAAGAGGAGGAATTTACTCTCACAGCCCAGTTGGAGTAGTGACCATGTGCTGGGCCGCTCTGCTTACCGCGGCTTATTGGTGCTCGGGTTTGGTTCAAGCTCCAAGCGGATTGCGGCGTAAATCAAGCTCCGGGTAACTATGAATTACCCACGAAGAGTGCATGTAGTTTGAGGCGTAAAGGCGATATCAGTTTCCGTTTAGTTTAGCATGGATTGGCTGCACGGGCGAAACATGAGGTTCAACAGGCGTAGAGTGTGGAGATTAGGAAAACATGATCAACTCCTTTGGAGCTCGAAACAATTCTTGGGTCCGTGTCAGGGATCTCATCAGTATCCTTATGACAGAGCCAGGAGACACAGGAGCCGCAGTCACCTGCGCCAAAGCCGAAGCCGACGAAGAATGCGGGCGTGGGACTGGTGGAGAGACCTGTTGTTGATATTGTTGTTGTGATTATGGTGGTGGTTGGGGGTTGGATTGTAATAGGGAAAGGGTTATATGTTTGATGACTAAATTCACTTTTGCTTACTTAATCCGACCCTAGTTTGTATCCTCTAAATTGGATTAAAGCCAACTTCAATGAGCTCAATACGTCCATATTGAGGGTAAATAGAAAATATTTGGGTTCGTGATAATGCTAAAGGAGAGACCCTGCTTACAACCGACTGTGCCGCCAATGTGTTTACCTCGCGTCCTCAAATATTTCAACCCTTTCTCTTTCTGCACGCGACTCTATTCCCCGACGAACTTCGCTTTTCCTTTGTTCTCTTAGTTGCAATTCCAAATCAACCTGTTCCGAATTCCCACCACCTTCCTCTTCACCATAGTCGCACTTGCCCAAAACACCACCACCTCGGTTCCCCCGTTCCTCACAACCACAACCGCACTATGGATGCTCCTCGTCGACATACTCTCACTCACAGGAACACTCGCCTCAATCTGGGGAAAACCACATTTACCTCCTCGGCTTCATAATCGACCGGACAAAAGGCCTTACTTACCACACTCGCACTGATCCGCTCCTCCATCACTTCACGCTACCCCAACGAAGAGCCCACCTCTGACTACTGTACCGTAACAATAGGCGGCCGCAACTGATACGGCAATAAAGGCGCCGCAGGAACATACTTCCAGCAAGCCCATACAATTTCAAACTCCAGCGGTTATTTCAGCATAAGCGCAGAATGTAGCTACTCCTCCGCAAGCTTACCAATCTGCGCCATGTATATTTCTCTTCGCCTCACATACTGTTATACAGCTGCCTCTGAAACTGTCACCCTCATTCGTCCTCGCCAGCTCGGTCTGCCTTTGATCCCGATTACAAGTGTACCTAGGATGAATTCGGCAACTATTAGTAGCACGGTTACGATGACGGGTATTGGTGCGGCGAGTAGGTTGTGTGAGAAGACGGAGGGAGGTTGATACGATTAAGTTGACTGAAATTCCGCTTTCTTACACGGATTTTGCGGAGTATGGATGGGTTATTATTGGGGGGGGGGGGGGGGGGGGGGGGGGGGGGGGGGGGGGTGTGTGGAGAGGTTGGAGACGGCATGGAGGGGACACCGCTGGTTAATCGGCAGTTTGTTTGCTAAAATCGCAACCGTGTTTATTTGCTCGTGTATTCGCGCAACCAAAAATTCGGTTGAACGGCAAGGAGGGTGACGGTGGTGTAGTGGAGGATGGCGTGGATGTGGTATTGCTGTGGGCCATTAGAAGGTCTGGGAAGAGAGTTAGTCGGTTATTTAGTTCGGTATCGTAAAGAAAGAAGACATTTAATAAATGTAAAACGGAAATCTATGCTTATGGAGAAGGGAAACATCATGGGCGACTTGTCTGTGTATGTTAACAATGTCACTTCAAGTGTTGGCGGGTTGTTGACTGGTAAATGTGAAATTTCATTAGTTCAATGGGATTACACTTATGTTCTAGATATGGGACACGAAATAATACGCTGAGAGAAAAATTTCAGAGTGATTTATCGAGATGCAGACATGGAGTATGGTTTTGGTTTCCGAATTTTGTGTCTGTAACAAAAGCGGAAGTACTGTAACAGTTATTTTAGGCTTTTAAGTATTAGTTGAGAACATCGCCATATCGCACTCGCAATTTTTGAACGAATTTTAGTTTAAAAGGAATAAAATAGACCCAACCCGGTATGTTTTCCAAACATCCTCTGTGTATAATGGGCTATATTTCTGCCTTCTTTTTTACAAATAGGCGCGCTGGTGATTTGAAGTAATGCACGTATCATAGGAATCTCTCAAACACCATCCAAATGAGTAACAGGACAGTGAGCAGCTGACACCCAGAAAGTCAGAGAAAGAAGAAGAGAAAAAAAATAAGTAGGCAGAGATGCGGTGAAGGCCTGCGTAGCTAGCGTTTTGGTGGTGATATAGATATAGCAACTCATCACAGAATCACACATACTCCACCAGAGACTCAAGACCTGTCAATGTTAAATACTGCGGTAGCTTTCAGTTCTAGTACTTCAGCACATCTTTACGTTCAAAAATACTATAACAACCGTATCAGGGACCAACACAATAATCGCGACCGTCGCAGATGCATAACTTTTTTTTTCAACACCAAAATTTTTTCGTCACTATGCTCACACGTCCAACTTCAGTGAATCTCTCCTCCGTAAGTATAAATGACCGCCTATACTTCTGCAAATGTTTTTCCTCTCCATAACACTTTCCTCCGCTATACCAATCTTCCTTATCAAGGCCCTTGACCACTACTATATACTATATCTTTAATAACTCTACCACAAATCTCTTCCAAATCGCAAAGTAGGCAACGCATACTACAGCTGCGACGGTATGATACAATGAAACAACACGCCGTACCCCATCACCGGCTGGGCTATCAAACCCACTATCTCACACGCTAGACCATTACTATTAAATGGAAGAACTTAAGGCTTAATCAGCATGTAAGCAGATGATGAGACCAGGAAGCATGTGGAGATAGGGCTATGTTATTATATAGGAAGGGCGGGAAGGTTGAGTTGGGATAGGGAGGAGTAGGAGGAGGGTTATGATTAGGTTTGATAGTTGACGGCTGGGTTTTGTAAGTGCATGCTTAGGTCTTTGGGATAACCATTCATTCACATACCAACTATGATATTCAAATTTAATTCCTGCAACGTGCAGTTGATTTTGGAATTTAGTTTTCTGTATAATGCTACCAGTAAAATAGTATACCTAATGCACAAAACTACGCGAACATCACTAGGTGCAGCCTTTCTCAAGTCCGTCCTCCAGCCCCTTCACAGCTTTCACCTTTCCCCTCTCCATCTGGTAACATCCCCTATCCGTACACTTCTTGTCCCCAGTATCCCTTACATGCTCGCAACGATTCTCATAAGGAAAATCCTTCGCCTTCAGCGTAATCGACTTTGTTTTAGTGACTGGGGTACGCCAGAAGAGGTGTTTCTTTGTAATGTTGACAGTTATAGTGTACTTGTCATCGCTCCAGCCATTCATCATGCCGTCAGCATTGAAGTAGGTGTCGCCTGAGGAGCGTATGGGGAAGTTCGAGTTGGTGTTACACATGGTGGATGTTTTGGATATGCTGGGTTAGGTTTACGTTTGGAGTGATTTGCGATTGTGTTTGGCAGAGCATGTGGATATTTGCTTGGTGTGTGGTTGGGTGCTAATGGAAGCTGGGGAATATATAGAACCCGGCGGAAGAGAGATTACGTGGTGTTGTATAATGTAGTGTATAAAGAAAGAATGGCATTGTACCAAGAATAGATGTGGGAGCTTCCCCAGAAAAAGAAAATTGGCGTGGAGGCGTGGTGAGTGGACTTTTGCGTTGTTGATGCTGCTGTCAGTCAAAGAGCTTGACAAAGAAACGTGCACTAGACTGTCTTTGTTTGTCCATCACACATCCCTATTAATGAGGCATCGGCCACTAGCTTAGCATTTAAGCAAAGAAGGGCAAGTTCTAGTGCACAGCCGCCAAACCACTGCAGTGACAAACGCAGTACATATTTTTCACACCTTCATCATCATCAGCGCCAAGGAACGCTGAACAGTGAATTTCGTATCACATGCGTAAAGGTTTTTAGCGTGGAGTGCCTAAGCTTCGAGAGCCTCGCACTTCGATGCTCGTCGGTGCTGGACGATACGTAAGATTTACTATTAAGAAAGGTACAGTTAGTTTAGGTAAGCATATAAGTCTTCGTAAATGTTGGAGGCGTATGAGGATGGTGCTAGATAACAGAATGAATAACGGATTAAAGATAAAGATAGATTGACTGAATGATCTGAATGGTCTAATAACATACTTTGAGGATATTAATGAAAGTACAAAGAAAAGTTATTTCTAGAACTCTCACCACACACAGCGTTAACTCAATCATGGCCCCTCCCAGCACATCTAACCACAAAATAAGAAAAAAATATACTCCTCTTAACTGGAGGAGAAAATAAATGAATGGACGGGTAGGGGATCGAACCCTAGACCTCCCGCAACTTTGCTAGGATGCAAAGCGGGCGCTCTACCACTGAGCTACACGCCCAAGGTCGAATTTGTTATTCGATGAAAACTATGGTTGTTATTAAAATTATAAAATGCTAATTTTTTAGCTATGTGGGGCGAGATTTGATAGCTTTGTCGTGACTCGTTTATGCCGGTTGCAGCCGATACGAGTGCGATAAGGAAAGGGTATGTTGAAAGGAGAAGATGAGAAAGAAGGAAACGGAAAACGAAATTCAGTAACAGTGTACAGCAATAAGATTGATAATTAATGGTAGCATTCAGTAACACAGGCCTTTGAAGCCTTTCTGCCCTATGTCTGTGGTCGGTGTGTTTCCACGTCATACCTATTTCGGTAATAGCCTACATTCTTCAGAACGCTTGACCACTAAGTAGCATAATTCTTTTTCGTATTTAGTCTTAAGGGTGCCTATCGATGGCGGTGGACCTTTCATATATCTCATCAGTTAAAGAAGATCTCTTCACCTTCAACCCTTGGCCCGCTGTAACACCACCTTCTGCAGTATTTCGGCGAACTGATTGAGAGCAACTTCCCCATTATTCCTCTCCCCAAATGCGACAGCCTGTGCATATGCTTCCTGTGTAACCTCCTTATCCAGCTTCACAAGCCACCCCTCTCCCGTAATCATAGTATACCTATCACCACCCTCCTTCTTATTCAGTAACCCAGCAGCTCTAACCAAACTTTCAATCCACGCCATATCCTTCAACTCTTTCCATGTTAGGTCTCCCAAATCAACAACCCCCTTAACCTTCAACTCCTTCCTTACAGTATCAACTACCCTGTCCCTCCTCCTTCCTTCTTCCTCTGCTTCCTTCCTCTCCGCCTCCTTCTTCCTCTCACGTTCTTCTCGCGCTCGCTCTACGATGTCCTGCTCGATGGCCTTCCGCCGCGCCTTTTCGGAAGAGAGAGCAGCTTCGCGCTCCGCGGCAACGGCTTCTTCCTCTAGACGCCGCTGTTCGCGCTGATTTTGCAAAAACTCGTGGTAGGCCCGGCGCTGGTCGCGGCGGGCGAGAGAGGCGGCTTTCTTTTTTCCGATTTGGCGGTTTTGAGGCGTTGCGCGGGGTGCATTCAGATTTGCGGGTCCGGGGACGTCGAACTCATCGTTTTGTGCGGGTTGAGGGGGTTGAGGTTGGTCTTGGAGATTGGGTGGGGTGGGTGCCTGTGGTGGCGCCTCTTCCTCCTCGAACGCTTCTTCTGTGTCTGACGGTTCTTCTACGATGCCGACATCGTGCGGTATGTCCGGAGGATCGCCGTCTACGTCGATGTTGTGTAGTTCACGGTCGCCCGTTTGGTGTTGCCGACTGTGATACCTGTCTGTGATCCCGGGCGCAAAGTAAAGAGCGCCGCAGAGGGCAATTGTGTGGATGATGTCTTGGAGGAGAGGTGTGGAGCGGTTAGTGAAGGGTAAGAGAAGGTTGAGGAGGCGGGTTGCGGAGCGAATTATGGAGAGGATGGCATCCATATTACTGGTGATGACAGATTGTACTAAAAAATTGTGCTGATACGCAGTGCGGTCCTGAATCCTAGAATAGGGCAGTAAAGTTTGACGTGAGCCTGTCTGGAGATTTTCGATGATGCGGTTAACAGTTGATGCTGATTTGAGGAAGGTCGACACGATAAGGCTGAATGACGGAACGCCAGTACAGAAATAGTATAGCTTTAAATCGCTCCCTTTCTTCCAAACGGTCAACCTTATCTCATCAATTCATCCCAGCTTTCACCGCATTATCGAATCCTTCCTTTGATCCATATACATTATCTTAGACCCTCAATCTATCACCGCTATACGGCACGGATTACACGTGTCAACCATCTTGTCGGAATCCACATCGTTTTGTTTCGGCCGTAAAGGCATATGACATCCGCTTTTATCGCTAGCGGACACTTCAGCTCTTCAATCATTTTGTATACAATATGCATTTTTCTCCGTGCCACTCACAAATATATACTAGTCTAGGTATACTACCTGGGTCTTACATGCGTTCACCTTGCAGGCTACGGCCGCTCTTGAAAGTATGAACAAAGATGTCTTTAGCGAATAGCTTACAGTAAAACGATGCAACAATCAATACCCGGATGAACCGTCACCACATCTCTGGAGGAATGAAAGACGAAGGCTCCTAAATTCAACTGCTTATAGATTGATATGCGAGAATGTCAGGGCAGTTCCTCGCGCTCTACAATGCATCACCGAAAATGGCGCGTTACGGCCGATGTGGAGCCTTGAAACGCCCAAAGTAGGCCGAGCTCAGTTGCACGTGGAAAATATCTTTATTCTTCTAGACACACCATACGTCCGTAAATATACTCATAGCCGGCAACTGTCCCCATAAGAGGCATTTTCCGCTGCGGTTGATTCTCAAACCTTTACCTGTATTGCCTACTTAATCACAGTCTCGCCTCGCCTCGTCTCGTCTCTTCTCGTCTTGTTGTCTTCTCTCGTCTCTCTAATCCTTTTTTGATCAAAAATTCTCCCTATAAGCAACCCCATCAATCAAATAGCTTCAAGCATGGGATCGTGGCCGAATGACGACGGGGTACAGAAACTTCCTCACCACCTCACTATGGCTTCAAATCTAATTTGTCCAGTTTGACACCGAATATGAGCAAACATCTCCAGTTGAGCTCAACGTCAAAGGTGACATACCGGCGTATGCCGCTGGAGTCTTATACAGAACTGGCCCTCTTGGATACAAGGTCGAGACAAGCAAAGGAAAGACTTGGCACGCTGGTCACTGGTTTGACGGGCTGTCGGCTGTGCATCGGTTTCAAATCGATGCTCCCCAGAATGGATCTGTCCAAGTGACATACAGATCCAGACGGATTGTGGACGAACTGATTGAGAATATAAGAAAGACTGGTACCAGAGATGGAATCACCTTTGGCGCAAAACGGGACCCATGCAAGAGTATCTTCAACAAGGTGATGACGAGTTTTTCTCAGGGGAGAGCGATTCCTAATGTTGGAGTTACCCTGTCGGTTAACATGCCGGGATTGAGTCCAATCGACTCGGAGACATCGTCTGGCACCAGTCGAAACAGCTCTGAAATTAATTCAGAGGCTCCAGGACTCTCCAACGGTCATAGCTCTGGTATCAAGACGCTACACACCAAAACAGATGCAAACCCGTTCTGCAAGGTTGACCCGGAGACTTTGGAGCCACTAGGAATCGCACATCAGTCTGATCTCCACCCGGACTTGAAAGGACCTCTGTCCTCGGCGCATGCGAAATCCGATCCAGAGACTGGTGATATTTACAACTTCAATGCGGAATTCGGGGCCCAGTGTACCTACCGCATATTCTGTACCTCAGCGTCCACCGGAAAAACATCGATCCTCGCCACATTTTCTGGAACGCCGTGCTACATCCACTCCCTCTTCCTGACTGAATCCTACGTGGTCCTATGCGTCTGGAACAGTCATTTCACCAACCATGGCATCTCCATTCTCTACAACAAAAGCGTCACGGAGTCCATCGCACCTTTCGACAGCTCGAAACCCGCAAAATGGTACGTCATCGACCGGAGACATGGAAAAGGGCTCGTCTCCACCTTCGACAGCGAGCCCTTCTTCTGTTTTCACACCGTCAATGCATGGGAAGCACCATCTCCTACCGACCCAAGCAAGACTGACATCTTGGCCGAATTGCACATGTACGACAACTTGGATGTAATCCACCACTTCTATTATGAGAATATCCTGTCGTCGAAGTACAATTGGAATAAATCAACGGATTGTGTGGGATACTTTGCGCGGTTCCGGTTACCGAATGTCGGAGATGGCGAGTTGAACGAGAGACCGGGAAAAGCGGAGGCCGTATACAAAGCAGATAAGGCGATCAGCGGCGAGCTCCCCACCATTAATCCATCCTACCTCACCAAACCGCACCGATACACCTACGGAGTCATCGACCGCCTGAAATCGAGTTTCATGGACGGGATTGTGAAGTTCGATTCCGAAACCCAGACTTCAATTATCTGGGAAGAGGATGGGCATACGCCTGGTGAAGCGATATTTGTCGGGAATCCCAAGGGGGAGAAGGAAGACGACGGTGTACTGTTAACTGTCGTGTTGAATGGCCATAAGGGAGAGAGTTATTTATTGGTGCTGGATGCGAGGGATTTGAAAGAGATGGGCAGGGCAGAAGTAAAGGGTCCGGTAACTTTTGGGTTCCATGGTGCACATGTTCCTGGAGGAAGGAGGTATGGGGGGGATATTTGATTTTGATTATGTTTTTTTGGGGATTGTTATTATGCCTTGCACTTGGGTCACTCCGGTTTGGAATTTCTTCGCAGTTACCCACTTCTGGTTTCAATCTGGAATATCTTTGAATTTGTATTTCTGTATTTCTCCCTTTTTGGGGGGGGGGAGGAACCAGGTAGCACGTTAAATTGAAATATTATTATTATTATTATTATTGTAAGCCGAGACGGCATATGGTAGGAGCAACTTACTGCCGACTTCGCATACAATACATGTATATATATTCAATAGTTCATTAGACCTCATGGTCAAGCACAAGATGATCACTATCGTAATACTGCTCCTTGACTACCCAGTTTTTGCCCCATACTGCTTACAATTTCTCCCTTTTTTTTTTGTTTTTTTTTTTTTTTAAATTTTCAGTTTTTATTTTATTTTTAGTTTTGGTGTGGCATCCGCCGAAACCGACATTCTCATCTTTTGCACCTGGTCTTTATCTTTTTCCCAAATACAATTTTTGGATTATTGTTATCACTCGGAGTTGGAGACTCCCAGTCTAGAAGAGACCGAGCATGCGAGAACTGTGTTACCTTATGCTATGTTTCGCGACATACAGCTTCGCACCATACAGCTTCGCGACATACAGCTTCGCAACATACAGTTTTGCGACATACAGCTTCACGCCATACAACTTATCCGCTGATACATGGCCTGCATATGCATATACACTCGGCCGAGCTAGCCTATTTCTTCCGCAATAGTTCTAGCTCGGTTCTTGGTTATAGTGGTACATCATCTATTTGCAAGGTCGGTCA